CTAGGGGTGAGAACGGTATTTTATGCAATTTTTACCCCTTGTACACTGAGAATGAATTTACACTGATAAAAGCAAACGTTCGTAAATGTTAACGGATTGAGCACGAAAATAAAAAAATGTTGATGGTTTCATATGAATTTAAAATTTCACCCCTTTTTAACCCCATTTTCGAACTCTAGAGAGGATTGTAGGTAAGCATAAGTATCAGATATAGAATATAATATATATTCTGTAACGTTTTTGAATCTATCACGCAAAAATCAGTATTTTAATTTTTAACCTCTTGGGAGGGGCGTCGCGGGGGGTTAAATAAACTGAATTGGTCCGACGGCAACATTTTATCATTATTTGGGATTAATTGGACCCCAAAATAGGCGGTCAGAAAAATTTAATAATTTTAACCTATTTTTGGCAATTTTTGAAATTTTTTACCACACTTGTTCCAGGATATACATGACCAAAGACAGAATATAAATAAAGATGGGACCGGTTACAACCAATTTTTTTTTTTTTAATTCCCTGTTCGTGAACCGCCAATGGATTTTGTCTGACGACGATGGTTCGTCTATTGTTTAGATACATATACTAATGATTACCATTAACTCAGGCGGTTAACACGAATTTTTTTTTCGACTTACCCCCATCGCCTAGCTCCGAAACGGCCAGCCCGCCACGCTATAGTATGGAAGAAAAAATCTTCAAATTTATTATAGAGCTCAAATACCACGAGTCAGACGGTTAACATGACTTCTTTATTATAAGCACTATTTCCTAGAGTACCTCACATAATAACATGATGTAATTAATCTACGACGTGCCAAAATCTAGTCACTTTTTATTTCATCCATTTTACATTTAAACAATAAAGAAAGCGAATGGACCTGGGGTATTTCCGAGACTTTACTAGTGAATGTGTTGCCTTCGTTAATTCCATTAGAGACTGAAATTGAGAACCTATCTATTTCTGGCTGAAGAGTCCTAATAAGGACGAAACCTGTCCAGGAATGTTGTTTTTCTTAGTATGCAAAATCAAAGGTGGAGTGTTGAAAAGACCACGCTTTTTTTACATTGTTTTTGGGTACTGTCAGAATTTGTTCAAATTTTAGTATGTCATTTTTCATGTCTTTAAAGGCATCTTTCTTATGGACCTCAAGTAGGCAGATCTACAGGGAAGGATTCAAAAGTAAGGAGTATAGAATTAATATTTTTAAATATATCTCCACCACTCTTAAGCAATTCTTGTTACTTTCCTATCTGTATACAGATAAGGAAAGTATAGGAATCATGATTTTTTTCGACCTCCAGTTTTCGACGGATTTTTACGTTTTGGGGTCCCCTGAATCCGTTCCGACTATTTTCGCGATGATGTGTGTGTATATGTGTGTGTGTGCGCGTGCACGTGTGCGTATGCGTGTGTGTGTGCGTGCACGTGTGCGTATGCGTGTGCGTGTGCGTGTGCGTGTGCGTGTGCGTGTTCGTGTGTGTGTGTGTGTGTGTGTGTGTGTGTGTGTGTGTGTGTGTGTGTGTGTGTGTGTGTGTGTGTGTGTGTGTGTGTGTATATATATATCCACCATAACTCATGAACGGATATAAAGAAAAACACCAAATTTTAAACTTAAGCTTTATTTCGGCCTCCAATAAACTGATTAGATTTTGGGCAGAGTCAGAACATCTGGGGGGTCATTTTTATATTTTATAGAATATATCTGTTATTTACGTTTGGAGAAGAAACTTCTTCAAATAAAAGTTACAATATTATTATCTATAATTTTTGTTTTGTACCAAATTTTTCTAAAATGGTCCGTATTCGAGAAATTTGACAAAATAAAAAAAAATATTTTTTTATAAAAATTGTTAAAACAAAAGTTGTTTGTAATATAATTTTCTATAATTTCTATCCTATACAAAATTTCTCTAAAATAGACCGTTTTCGAGATATTTAAGAAAATGTGTAAATTACGAATTTTGAAGAAAACTCAAAAACGGATAAAGGAAAAAACATTAAATTTTACACTAAAGTTTTATTTTGGCCTGAGGTAAAATGATTAAATTTTGGACAAAGTCGGAACATCTGGGGGGTACTTTATAGGAGGTCATTTTTATATTTTATGAAATATATGTTGTTTATGTTTGGAGAAGAAAATTGTTTAAATAAAAGTTACTTCTAATAATATTATATATAATTTTTGTTCTATACCAAATTTTTATAAAATGGTCTGTATTCGAGAAATTTGACAAAATGTGCAAAATTCTGATTTTTAAGAAAATTGTTAAACTAAAAGTTGTTTGGGATATCGATCTCTATAATTTTTGTTTTTCTAAAATTTACCGTAATGGAAAAATTGGAGGAAAAGTGCTAAATGTAAATTTTTCAGTATTTTTGTATCCATAGAATAATGTTTCGAGTTAGATGTATGTGGAAAATGTATATATTTAGTTTATCCTCTAAACATTTATAGAGGTGCTGCAATAGGTTGTACAAAATAACCGGGAAAAGCCTATAATAACTAGATAGAAAAGTTATGTGTTGGACACATCAGATTTTTTTTCCATGAAAGCTACCTATGTCATGTGTTACACTTGTACCTATAGAGTTTGTTCATGTTTACTTACACTTTGTAAAATAAATCATACAGCGTGTTCAAAAAATTAGGATTATCAGGTACTTAAATATGGTGCATTTTTCATGTATTACCATAGCTAAATTCTTCACAAACATCAAGAAAAGGAAAGCGTATCATGTTTATAGTAGAGAAGAGAGAGAATGTTTCAAAAGGTAACGTAATTTATAACGTTTTCAGATATTTACAATCAATGTTTAGAAAAGTTTATAAAAATAGGAAAATCTGTTTTTTCAGATAGATCGATGTAATTGCACATTTGAAGGTAATTTTAAATTCTAATCAACTTTTCTTAATTAAAATTTTCGATTTTGTCAAAAATAAACGTACTTTACTCTTGAGCAAAATTCATATTTTTTGACAAACCTCGTATACGGCTTGAAAAATTTGATATCTGATGACTGTATTTTAAGTTTTGGGTCATGCAGGACTTTTTATTAGGAATAACTTTTTTCCTAAAATCAATAATAAAAATGTTTTTCATATGGTTCCAACTTAAGTAGACACACTATATGAAAATATTAAGTCAGCACTCCTTACTTTTGATTTCTTCTAATAGCTCACCCTGTAGAGCTAAAAACTTGAGGTCCATAAGAAAGTTGCCTTTAAAGACCTGAAAAATAACATACTACAATTTTAACAAATGTAACGTTATAAATAACGTTTCAGTTTTATTTCATATTAAATATTAACGACATTTAATAATTATATCTTCCTGGGAAAAGTATTCAGTCATGTCAATGGTACGAATATTTCCTTACTGTCTTCTCAAGGCCACCTGTCGAAAAATCAATAACTTGGGACCTTGCGCGGTCTGACGATAAAATCTAACACTTAAGCACTTTCGCACTTTCCGAAATATTCAGCTTTCTTTTTTGTTGTGTGGAGGTTGACCGATCCACTTGTTTTGTTTTGTGAATGTGTGCTCGATGACTAAAGGTAATTATTTAATATATTTGGTTATTTAGAATTGCTTGATAAGTGATTACAGGTTCAATATTTCGTTTGTAGATTATTACGTGAGTTCCACGAATTGTTTTAGGTAGATTAACATCAAAAGGATTTTTCGTTTTTTTTTTATTTTTTATTTTTTTTTTTTTATATATCTAGATGCTCGTGTTTTTTTTTTTTCTTTAACATTAAAGAGGAGACCGGCAAAGAAAGTACTAAAGAGGAAACCTCGAGGGAAAAAGAGGAACAGTAAAGCCGTACTAAAGAGGAAACCTCAAGGGAAAAAGAGAAACAATAAAGCCGTACTAAAGAAGTAAAGCCATTACAAAAGATGCTGCATAGTGAAGGTGTCCAAGTAAGAGAATAGCTTTATCTTCTCATCAACGGCCCAGTTAAAGCTGAAACTCCTCGACCGTCAAACGGAGCCAGATAAGTATCTGGCATTAATCCGAACATTTTTACATAAATCTATCGAGTCATGTTTTTTTTATTAGTTAAATTATTAGTCTGTTCTGCTCAATTTCATTTAATGTAACCAGTTGTTTTTTATATTTCATAATTTTTAATTTGGAAGTTGTTTACAATTTACATTAAAGTCACTATATTATAATTTAACTCTTTTAATTTATTCCTTACTTTCAACTAGCAAATTAATGGCATAATTTGTATTTATTGACCATCTAAATATACATGGCGTCCTTAACCATTAATAGAACACTTTCTTGTCTTTTTAATTAAAGATGATGCCATTGGTTTGTTAGTAAATTCTAAGCCCGAATTCACCGACCCTGTTGCTAGGCCGAGGGTAATTAAGTTAAGTATCACGTAGCAAATTGGCACCAACGAGCTTTTTCATTACACAAATTCTGACAGTACCCAAAATGAATGTAAAAAGTGTGGGGTCCTTTAATGTATATCTCCGCTGTCTTCCTTTGGATATAATTCAATACCTGTTGTGGTATTATCCAAAGGAGTAGTTGTTTTCTGAAGGGAAACGGTCGCTCATATTATGTGATATACTCGTATGGCGTTTATTTATTTTATTTTACGTCTTGGTCACATTTGAGATGGAATTATTTTTCTTTTGTTTAAAAATAAATTAGCGTATTTAGTATAAATAAATTATAAATTAATAAACTGTTTAAAATAAATAAACGTTACATTATGCACAAAAACTGTTTAACAATAAATCGATAAATCGATACAGTGAAATGCGTACCTACCTGTAATTAACGGGCTCTGGTGGTTTTACTTTTTGATTTATTTTATATGTGCTGATTATGGATTCGTTTTTAATAAATCAGCTACCAAACCATCCTCGTACTTTTTGGAAATTGCATTTAGAGTTAGGTAAATAATTAATTGGTAATTGTACTCGGCTTTGAAATTTCGGGTTTTAAAGCAAATTACGAGTATTTGTATTTGCAGGCTTTTTTGGCAATCGGAACCAACCCCATAAACAGTACGGTACCTTTAGCATGTGCACTAATGAAGAAAAATGGCATATACAATCCGAACACAATTTTTGGCATCACTACTCTGGATGCAGTAAGAGCTAATACATTCGTTGCCCGAGTACTGTGCATTGAACCAGAACGAGTACAAGTTCCAGTCATAGGTGGCCATACTGAAGATACTATAGTACCTGTTTTAAGTCATACCAAACCTAGTGCTGAATTTACTAATGTAAGTTATTTTTTCTAATTTTGATGTATAAACTGACATTTTTTATGATCGCAGCAAGCGTCATATTGATCTATGTTACATAAAGTTGAACATTATGCAACTGGTTACGAAGTAGCTATTTATGAAACCAGTTGCGAAATGACTTATTTTAACGAGTTTTATATATATATATATATATATATATATATATATATATATATATATATATATATATATATATATATATATATATATATATATATATATATATATATATATATATATATATATATATATATATATATATATAGAGTGGAAGGGTAGTCTTTGCTGAATAGTAATGTAAAATTCAAACTAATTTATTGGGGGCAGCAGCAATATATAATAAAGAAAACTCTTTAAAGATGGAAATAAGTTATTAAATTTCCGAAAGCTTGGATCATCTTTAAAGAGTTTTCTTTATTATATATTGCTGCTGCCCCCAATAAATTAGTTTGAATTTTATATATATATAACATAAATGAGTTATATAAAACGGCAATTCGTAACGTGTTACATACAATGTTTTTTCTAATTTTGACTAGATTATATAAAATTGTGTTTTAATAAAACATTACTGACATCTGGGCAACCAATATTACTACTTTCTTGTATTGTTAGTTGCATATGATTAACTTTATTTTTTTATTGACAAATAGAAAATAATTTATTTATTCTCAACGACTTGCTGTAATGTGTTTATATTGTTTAAGTTATTTAGATTTCAAGAAAGTGGGTTATTTTGACATGTATTGTGTTTTAATTATTTTGTACTGATTTAGATTGGAAAATAGGGACCGAAACAACATTATTACTAGGTTGTACGTTCAACTAAATTCTATTTTTTAAGTCAATCTGCCCTTCTTTGATATAAAATTTCAATAACGTATATTATTGATTGGTGACATAATAAATTTTTCGAAACCAGTTTCATAATGTATTTGTTTGTTTCCGTTATCACTATCAAATGTTTCAGCTACAACAGCCTTTTCTTTCTTTTTATTGAAGTTCTCTTGATGTTTGTATATTTCTATAGCCTCCAAATATGCAATCTAGTCGAGTAATGTATTGATGTTGCTAGTAGGTCGGTGTTTTCGAAAAGGATCTTATGTACTCCGTCAAAAATTCTTGTACAGATCAAAATTTAAAATATTGCTTTGCATTACTCTTCTTATTTTGTGTTTTAAAGTTGTTATAGTGTGTCGAAAATTCTCGTTCTTAACTAGTGTATAATCCAGGAAGTCTCCTTTACTTTAAGTTGGTTAAAAATTTGTAGTTACTCAACATACGTATCTAATACTTTGAATGATTAATTCTGTGCATTCATCCATTATTAATATCATTATTAATAAATAAAACTGGAAAAACTTGCTTCTGATAATAGTCGTTGACTTCAAATATTCACTAATAGTCAGGTGGTCCACAGCTAAATTTTAATCATTGGGATACTCAGTCAATTTCAAATGGCTGGCAACTGTACTAAGTGTGATGATGTTTTAGTGATAAGTTGATTGCTTGCGACAGTTGTCATGTCACAATGCATCCAAGTAAGGAGTGTAATGGCCTGTGAGCATCTGAACTTCATGCTGTGGTTTTACAAAAAAGAACTTTGGTTTATTTTTGCATCGATTGCCGCCTAGCTTTCAAAAGTGTGCCCACGCTATTAAGACAAATTGATATCGTCAGCTCTGAAGTTAACAAATTGAAAGGTGAAATTCTAAAGCTCAAGGATAGTAAGAAAAATGGGCATAGACCTATAAAAGTTGTCTTGAAATCCCCTCGGGACGTCCACCAAGTTATAAAAAATAAAAACAATATTGGCCGAGAGAAAAGATCTTTACACACTTCAACTATCAACCAGAGGAAACCCCTGAAACTAGTAAATCCTGGCAGGCTGTATATTTATTATCAAATTATAAGATGCATTCGAACCAAACTATCTCAATTGAATCTTAATGTCTTAAACTGAAGTTATTCTTACGGAAACATGGCTCACTGACAAGATCAACGATGCCGAACTTATGCTAAACGATTACAACATCTATAGACAGGATCATACATCCCAGACAAGCATATTTAGCAGAGGAGGTCATGTTTTAATAGCTGTTAAAAAAATATCTTCAAGTAGGTATTATCAACTCAAACCCATGAATTGAGCAACTGTTTATTCACCTGGACCAAAGCAAGGGCAAACACATCTTAGGTACCATATAAATTCTTCCCAAATCTCATCCTAACCTATATCAACTTATCTTGTGATCAACAGTTAATCCCATTAAAAAAGAATAAAGAGGAGATGCTATGACGATGCTAAATTGTCCGCACCTTTGAATTACATTTTTATGTCAATGTCAAACTCGAGATAGTGTAGCTAGTCAGTTTTATTAGAATATAAATGCCATTTTTCTTCAAATAACTTCATATAAATGATATAAAATTATTTTCATTTCATTTAAAATAAATCAAAGTACGACTCAAGTCGTCATTTTCATTACACTTTTCCGTCATTTGAAGTGCGTCCACTTGTCATATCGCAAAATAGTGTTTATGGCGTGTCTACTTTATTCTATCTCGATGGTTAATCCTAAATGAGCAATATCCCGACAGTCAGTTTTACCTGTTTAGAGATTATAATCTACCTACAGCAATCTGGAAAATTTAATATTTCTGCTCATCCCACATCCTAATTGGTTGAAGCAGGTGCTATCGAAATAGTATCGAATATATGTGCGTTGTACAACATGTTTCAATCTAACAATGTCTTCAATACAAAGGGTGTTATTCTTGACCTCGTTATGTCCCTTGTTGAACTAACAGTGCTCCTCGCCGATGATTTTTTGATCTCACCTGATGCGCATCAGCCTCCTCTGGTACCCTATTCTCAAACTTAGGAGGATGCTCCTACACGAGTGTTTCATCACCAGTGTTGCCAGATGACCAAAACCAAATTGTACCATAGTGTAGAAATTATCGTTTTTTTCATGATTTTATCGTACAAACTGACCTTACTAGTGTGACCTTATCGAAGGCTGGTTAATTTAAGAGTTTATTGAATAAACATATAAAAAATATTAAAAGTAATTTTAAAAAACCAACTTTAAAATCGGGCAGATGCCATCAGCACATTTATATGGGACCACCACATACATAAAAAATGAAGAATTTGAGGATTTTCTTATACCAAATTTATATGGGATCATCCTTCAAGTATCCCCTTTCTAACAAAAAAGAATCATTGAAATCGGACAACGTGTTAAATAATTATCGCTGAACATACATAAAAAAATACCGACGTATTGAAAACCTTTTTGAAGTCAGTTAAAAATAACCCTTAACATTTTCTTGTTTCAAAAATAATTCATTCTTCTTGTAATCCTTTCTGATTTTGATCTTCCAATTGTGTATGTCTATTCATTTTTAGAGATGTCGTTAATTTCATTTCATCTGCAGGTGTGAAACTTACACATCCATTACGCAGAGGATTCCCACACTTTCCTTATAAAAATTTTTCTGAAACTTTGGTATGTTATTGTACTCAATCTAGTAACCAAAAGTGTCAATATTCTCAACTCAATCCTATGACTGGTTTTCGATATACATGGTGTTAAAAGTTTAAATTGCTTAGTTTTTCGAAATTTTTATTTTCAAAATTACGAACTAGATTGAATTTCTGTTGCATACACACGTTTACATTAATACCTATGTACAATTAAAAATATTTTTAGTTACAGGGTGATTCACAATGTATGAATAATTTTACTGTCGTCAGGGAAGCATATTTTTAAAAAATAAAAGATTATACAATATACATTTCTTATACAGGGTATTTTATAGAGAGAACCACAACATGAAATTATTTTTTCAAGGATTAATTCATGTATGAACATATTAAAAATTTTTCCCTCTTTTTAAATTCGAGATACAGGGCGTTAAAGAGGAGAATTGCTGATTTAAGTTATTTTTTCTTCAAACTAAATTGACTTTATGTAACATATATAAGTTTAACATAAGTTTTGGTCAGATGTCCATAAAAAGAGACAATTCAAAATAATTACTGTTACAGGGTGATTCACGAATAAATCACACTATATTTTTGCAACTTTATGGTCCCGTGTATAAAAACAAATATCGGAAAATGATGTAGAAACTGATATATTTTGTAGGTAATTATTAAACAGAATACCCTATATATTTTAAAATCTAATGTAACGTTATTAACTTACTTACAAGTCACTAAAGAAATGTAAGATCTATATTTAATAATTTAAAAACAATTTGTGAACGGGGGTAGATATTAACTAAATGAAATAATTTCTCTGTGTCGCAACTGTAGATATATTGAGTGATTATTGAGTGATTTATTCGTGAATCACTCTGTAACAAATTTTTTACACGGAATGGACATCTCACCAAAACTTATATTAAACTTATATATTCTACATAAAGACAATTTAGCTTTTCAGTTGGAAGAAAAAATTACTAAAATCAGGAATTCTCCATTTTAACGCCATGTATCTCAAAAACTGGTCAGATTTAAAATTATATTTCCTAAAATGGTGTTAGAATTACCAAATACTGAGAAAATAGTTACATTTGACTTGGGAAAATTTAGAATACAAGTGTTTTGTACGTTTATTAAAATGAAATATAGTTATTTGTTCCCTTAAAGAAAGCAATTACGAAAAAATTTCCACACTGGTATTCCTCGCAGCTTAAGAGCTTGGTTGATGATAAAAAGGTTGCTTATACGATTTATAAACATAACAGAACTCCCCAAAATTATGAAATATTTAGTCAGCTAAGACCACAATCTATCTAGACAATGCTATTCAAATTATATATATTCTGTTGAAACCTCTGTTAAGACTAATGTTAAAGCCTTTTGGAATTTTGTAAATTTTGTAAAAGAGCAAGTAACAGTATACCACATAAAATGAATTTGGAGGACTTTTTTGCATATTGCAGTAGTGAAGTAGCAAATCTGGTATTTTTCTTCAGTTTACAACACACACATTCTAAATTTAAACGATGACCAAATCGAATCTAAAGTTAATGTTTCCTCATATTACATACCAATTTAGACCATTTATGATAAATTGTCAAACCTTGATACAAAAAAAGAGCCAGGTCCTGACATTATTCCTCCCATCCTACTAAGGAATGGCAGCTTCATACTGTCTTGCCCTTTTTTCCATATTTTCAATAAATCAATCGACACAAGAAAGTTTCCCGACTATTGGAAACTTTTATGTCATCCCAATATACAAATCTGACATCAAAAATTATCGACCCATCTCAATTCTCAGCACAATACCTAAATTGTTTGATGACCTTATAACTGTTTACCTCACTTATGACTGCTCCGTCATCATAACTGAAAAACAATATGGTTTTTGTGCTGGACAATCAACAGAGTTAAATTTAGTCACTTATATCGACTTCTTGTTAGTAGCATTGGAAAATGGTTTACAAATTGATTCTGTCTACACTGACTTTTCCAAAGCTTTGGACAGGGTTAACCATACTCCTTACTTCAAAAGCTTAACAAATATAGTCTGCGTGGGGCATTACTGCAATTAATTGGTAGCTATCTTACTAATAGAACTCAAATGGTTAGAGCTACTATTCTAACTTATTTCAAGTACCCTCAGGTATTTCTCAGGGGTCACATATAGGAATCTTACTATTTAACTTATTTATTAATAATATAATTCGTTATTATTATTTGCAGACGACTTAAAATTTTTCCAAATTATTAAAACCCATGATGATGCCAGTAGACTTCAGTGTAACCTTGATAATTTATCAGACTGGTATTTTTTAAATGGCATGGACTTGACTGCCAATAAATGCCATATCATACGTTTTTATCTTTCCCACCTACCTCCAACTACATTTGACTATAACTTAAATGGGCATATCTTAAACTCTGTTTATCAAATTAAAGACCTTCTAATTATTCTTGATCCCACTTTAAGCTTTAATCAACACATATCTGCTGCTGTCCACAAATCCATGAAAATGTTGCGTGCGTGCGTGTACTCGATAACTCATATGATCAGATACAGAGAAAAACACCAAATACTAAACTTAAGCTTTAGTCGATCCTGAGGTGAACTGATTAGATTTTGGGCATAGTTGGAACATCTGGGGTGTAACTTAAAATAAGTCGTTTTTCTGCTTTATGGAATATATCTGTTATTTCGCTTCGAGAAGAAAATTTTTTAAACAAAAATTGCTTGTAATATTATTCTCTATAATTTTTGCTCTATACATAATTTTCTTAAAATGGTCCATATTGGAGAAATTTGACAAAAAGTGCGAAATTTGAATTTTTAAGAAAATTGTCCAAATAAAAATTGTTTGCGATATCATTCTCTATATTTATTTTATGCCTGATTTCTCTAAAATGGACAGTGATGGAAAAATTTGAGGAAAAGGGTAAAATTTTAATTTTTCAGTATTTTCGTTGGCAATAAATATGTAAAAAACTGTTTCAAATAAGATGTGTGTGGAACAATTAGACAGGAGAGTCATGTGTTGGACACATCAATTTTTTGGTTTTAAAATCAATATATACATTTAATTAAAAGTTTATATCAAAGAAAGGAAGGTTGATTATGTAAAAATAGATTTTGTTAGTGAACTTACAACCTAGTCACTTAATGTCAATTCGCGGAAAACGTCAACTTAACGGTTGAATTTCGAAGCGCAAAAGCCTACTTTGGATAGTGATCGTAGAAAAGAGCTATTTGTGTATTAAGAGCGAAAGTGATACTTTGCCGCTTGAGACAAAAAATTGCCACGTAACGCGTAGCGGAGCGCGGCAATTTGTCAAAAGCGCCAACGAACTTTTTGTTCAAAATGCACACAATATTTTTTCTACGATCGCATTATTTTAAGAAATAGATATAAAAACTGAAAATTTCTCATAAGTAGTGTATAATGTGTTACCTATATCTATGTTATTTATGAAAAAAAGGAGTTGATATTCAAAGTCAATGTTAACTTGGATAATAAAAGAAAAACATCAAACTAGGTACAAATAACATCAAAATCATTTATTAAAAATAAATATTATTATATTATATCTAATTTAAATTAGGCGAGCGACAAAGCTGTCAAGGTTTCCGCTCGGCTATCGACAAAGCTGTCACTTAATGTCAGTTCGCGGAAAACGTCAACTTTGCGGTTGAATTTCGAAATACAAAAGCCTATTTTGGATAGTGATCATAATAATATATGTGATGATTACTTTTATAATAATTGGAATGTTTTGCAATAATTTTCTCTAGTTAATAGTATTTTATATTACCCTTTCTTTTTTGGTTTGATGTTTTCTTTTTCCTTCCTTCTTCTCTAAATACCTACTTGGTGAATATCCTCTTTGATCTGTTCTACCATACTTATTATATACAGCGCCTCCGAAAAACAACATTTTTAGTTAAACATTTTTAATTGAAATTCCCGAGATATGTAGATTTTAATGTTGATTTACTGAATTTTCACATAATTTAATAAACAGGGTAAACCATTTTCTAGACACTACGACATCGCAAGTTTTTTTAAATATATTTTTAATTTTTAAGCTTGCCACCATTTCAATAGTGTTTAAATATACAGTGAGAATCTTAAGTCTTACCCCCCTAACTAACTAGTTACTAGAGTCTTGTTAGGAAAATCGCCGAGACAGGTCGATTTTTGTTTTTTACAATGTACATTTTTGTATGATTAGTTTACCCTTAATTTCATCCCTTACTCGAGGGGAACAACCCTTTCGAAAAATTTAAATGGCATGGGGTGGTGAGTGATAGCTCATTTGAAAGGGGGTTTTATTATCTATTCAACCGTGCAAAAAAATTTTAAATTTGCTTCATTACGTGTTGATTTATTAATGTTTAAAAATAACAGAATCTCACAAAATAGGAAAGCAACTAAACTAATAGTGACCTTCTAATGGCAAAAAGTCTTACTTCACGTCTGAACCAAAACCGAAATCATGCAGGGCCGAATTTTAATTCTAAGGATGAGTGTGCTACGTTAATTTCCGTTATTCTGAAACAAAAATTAGTCGAGAATTAATGAAGCAAATTTCAAAATTTTTTACATGGTTGAATAGAGAATAAAACCCTCTTTCAAACGAGCTATCACTCACCACCCCATGCCATTGAAATTTTTCGAAAGGGTTGCTCCCCTCGAGTAAGGGATGAAATTAAGGGTAAACTAATCATTGTAGAAAATAAAAATTGACCTGTCTCGGTGATTTTCCTAACAAGACTCCAGTAACGAGTTAGTTAGGGGGTAAGACTTAAGATTCTCACTGTATATGTTATGGCGAAGCCATTCTTGCATAACAGGTTTCTTTGTTGCGGATATTGGACCTTTCACAATAAATAATAATAAATAAATACTTTGGACAGAATTAAAGAACACCACATTGGAATTGTTAAATTTATTTATGTTCTATGTGTTACTTACTAATGCAATACATGCTCCGACTCATTATTGTAATATAACAAAATATAATTGTCCCCAAATTCCACACAAAAAAACCACAACCATTTCGCTTAGTTCACCTCACAATATAAACCATTCATGAACTCAAATTCAGGATTTTGCAAAGTGTGGCACTCGCAATCAACCAAAATAAAAAATTTATGTTATGTTAAGCCTAAAGATTAAAACAAATATTGTTTCATTAAAAAAATGAGAAAGTTGTTATTTTCTTCTGTATTGAATTATATGTAAAAACACTAAATTAAAATAAAAAATCGACCTGTTAGAGAATTTCCATAAAAAATGTTTGTATAACAAAAAAATAATTTATACGTTATTTGAAGGACTTATTGTGTACTTAATTTATAAAATATTTCAGGAAGAACTGGAAAATATAACCTATAACGTAAAAACTGCTCATGATCATATGCTATCTTTAAACCCAGCGGAAAGTGCGCCTCTAGCAAGTGCCTTTGCTTGTGCTCGCTTTATAATATCTCTTGTAAAAGCAATGAAAGGTTACAAAGACATTATAGAATGCGCTTATGTTCCTTCTAAAGTACATCCTGATGTTAAGTACCTCTCCACGCCACTTCTACTTGGTCCATATGGTATTTCGAAAAATTTGGGGATTCCCAGATTGTCTGAATATGAACGCTGTATTCTAGATAATGCCGTAAACTGTTTGAAAGACGATATAAGCGAAGGTGAAAAATTAGCTAGAGCAACTTGATAAGAAAAAAGACTAAAAATGATCATAGTAATTTTGTAGAATTGTTATGAATAAAAAAAATTATTTTACTTTGTGTTTTTCTTGTATGGTAAAGATGATTTTTTAAACATTTCTCTATATAAAATATTTAAATGGCAGAAGACTGCTGTTTGAATATAGTAGGCGGTTGTCATATATTGTATTGGTTATGATTTGATTCTGTATGCGCCAGGGATACAAATACGAGTTGAGCAGTGTATAAACTGGAACATTGAGATCAAAAGTGTCGACGCAGAGTGAGCGAACTGATTCTTTAGCTATAACCCAGATAGCACAAAGTCGTCTTAAAGACGTCTAGCATAAGACACTCGAGACGTCTTTAAGACGTCTGGTATTTCCTGAAAGACGTCTTTTAGACGTCTTAGAAGACGTCTGATGTTACAAAAAGCGACGTCTTTAAGACGTCTTATTAATAACTTATATTGGTCTGTAGAGCTTAAAATAAGCCATAAATAAGACGTCTTTAAGACGACTTATTAATAGCTTATAATGGTCTTGTGAAGCCTTAAATAAGACGTCTGTAAGACGTCTTATTAATGGCTTATAATGGTCTTGTGAAGCTTTAAATAAGCCATAAATAAGACGACTTATTATTAATAGCTTATAATGGTCTTGTGAAGCCATAAATAAGACGTCTTTTGTCTTATGAACGTAGGACGTCGGATATCTTGGTTATTAAAAAGTAGAACAACCTTACAGATTATAAATAATGCAAAAAATAGAATTAAAATATTTATTGATAAAACATCTATTAATCACAGGTCACTAAGAGTTATTTTCTTTGTAGCGCATTCGATCACTCCTCTTTAGCCATAACTGGATTGATTTTTCTCTTTGATTTGTAGTTGCCTTTGTATAGCTCCTAAAAAGAAATTTAGTTAAGAGCATCTAGCCACAGAAAATTATACTTTGCAAAAGTTAGTAAAAACCGACAGAACAGTTATCTATAAAACAAAACAAAAAATTAATTTCTTAGAATTTTAAATCAAAAATTTTTATAATCATTTAATGCAATATGAGCTATTATGCTTAATCGCCTACTTTAACAATTTTACTTTAACTTCACTCAAAATGGCTATCTAATAGGGAGTTTTTGATATTATTAGTTCTCAAACTCTTCATAAAAACATATTAATGTTCTATGTATATAAACAAATATTCATTTATTACCTGTATTCCAGGAACGTGTTACATCGGCAACACAAACTATTCTTCCCTCTCTGGTTTTTGTCCCATATTATTTAAGTAGAAAGAGACAAATGCTCAAAATAGCCCAAAGTCGCTTTTGGTGGCTATCGTGTACGCAATAAAATTAGGCATTCCAACGACCTGTCAAACAATAGGTGCCAGTGGGAAATTCTTGTGTATCTAAGGGGGTAGCGACATAATCTTGCAACTTGGACGCTATTTTTATTCGAAGTAGTAGTCGCCAAGCCTGCCAATTTATGAAGAAATGTATAGGTGGGTTTTTTAAATATTATTTTTATTGTGTTTGACATAAAATATTTAAATGTTATACATTATTCATGATTTTACGTAAAGTAGATAGAATACACCGTATGTTGCCACCCTTAGATATACCAAACCTTCCCACTGGCAATTCATTTGTTTGGAATGCCTAATTATCAATAATCCACAATGAGCTTGGGCCATACACATTTTTGGCTTGGGCTTGAATGTATTTCTTTTTTTCTTCGTTTTATGGGCTCATTGCAATCTTTTCACTTTTCCACTGCACTTGATATTTGATTTCAATTGTCTTCTCCAAATATAACACTGAATATTTTGTTTAATTTTGTATACTTTTTAAATTCAGATGGTCACTTTTATACTAGATATTTTGTGATTTATATGGAATTTCTTGGCTCCCGATTCGGAGAACGCCATTTCAATATTGCCACGATGGTGTCCGAATCGGAAGTCCGGCTTGAATATAATGTTAAATCAAACGTCAAACTTCACTTCATTTGATTCTTCTTGTTAAATTTGAATTATGTAAACCGTGCAAGTTTCCGTCCGACTGAAAGACGTTCGTAAGACGTCTTAAAAACGTCTGAGCTTTCTCATTAATATATGGATTTGGCAAGACGTCTTAAGAACGTCTTTGAGCTCTCACATTAATACGTCTGAAAAATGGCTTTTGCAAGACGTCTTAATAACGTCCTAGGACATTGAGACCAAACCAAGACACAAAAAAGACGTCTTTTAGACGTCGTGTGCTATCTGGGAAACTGTGACCAAACATGGTCAGATTTGCTATTAGACATTCCAACGACCTGTCCAAATGGCTACCAGTGGAGACTGACAGTTTAGATATGGCAACCCTGTTGTCATTAACAGGGTCAATGATACATATATAGATTGCTCAAAGCAGGTCGTTTGCAAGCGGCCATATTGCCTGGCAAATATTTATTAATTTGAATCGGTTTAGTAAAATGTGTTTTAAAACCAATTTTCATCCTTCAGATATTTAAAAAAAAAATTGCTTACATTTTTACTTCAAGGCATAAGCTTATTTTTATTTTGAAAAATATGGGATCAATCTATATGTAACTATCTATTTCTTTGACCTTGTCAAATCACGCCTACAGGGTTGCCATAATTTTGCCATATCTATTGCCGCGTTTGAGAATCCACATCGGATGCATTTTTTACATTTCGACCGTTTTTTTTATCCACATCTGACACTTCTGTCCCATTACATTTACGTATACTGAATCACGTGATCAAAGATTTACTACATCTCAGATGCATCCGATGTGGATTCTCAAATGCAGCATATGAAGACTAGAGATAAGAAGACGAATCGGCATACTTAAGAGTAAAATTAAACACAGTTAACAGATTTTTTATTGTTGTAATACAAGTATAAAGGGAGATTTGGGAATGTACATGGTATCACCTCATCCTTTAATTTCAGCTTCCCCTTTTTATTTTGCTAACAATACCATCAGTAAAAATAGTCTCATAATATTTGATAATGGGGTCTATTCTGTAACAATTCCTTTATATTTAACGGCCTTTAAAAATATTGGCGGCCTATAAAAATATGTTCGTATTCGTTAATTTACTTCTGTCATTATTTAAACAGATTTCTTTAAGATAGTCCTCTAATGTATTTTAAAGATCCGTTTAAATAATGACAGAAGTAAAGAAGAAAATATTTTTAAAGGCCGTTAAATATAAAGGAATTGTTACAGAATAGACCCCAATATCTTCTAAAAAGTATAGAACAACATCATCTCTAGAAAGTGCTTTATCGGCACTAGGAACGACATATGTGCTGCCACTGTTCTAAACGTTTAGTATCCTATAAAAAACATTTACAATGACACAATTGGGGTCAAAAAAAAAAAAAAAATAATAGTAGCAACTCTTTATCTAACGAGTATCTAACATTAAAACTCTATAAAATTAAATTTTCTTTTCCAGTAAGTTAAATTTAATGCATAATTATTGTTGTTTGTAAGTAAGCATCTATAACTGTTGTCTTACCCTGGGTTTATAAGGCTTGACACTTACTGCCTTCGATCATGTGTTCGAAATATGTTACCTGGGGGTGAAGGCCTTATGCTCCACCCAGTAGCCTCTGGAGGATGCTCTCGAAGTTCTGGATGATGCACTGATTTTATTCACCTTATATTTGAATTTAATATATTCACGGCTTACTGGTTCCACATTTTACATATTTATACTTGGTTACATAAATTATTAATTGATTACATGTTACAACTTTTTAAATCAAATCGCACAAATGCTTTAACTTAAATTTCGGCTTGCTGCCGGCGTTTACAAGGTTTGTTGTGATGTGTTTTGTGTGACTGACGAAACGAAAGTGAAAGTTTTTTCTCCGATACAATCCCGCCAGCCAGCGACGGTTTTACCGCCTTTTTTCTCATTGGCCGTCCCAGATCACATGATTGCGTACGTGATCATATTAACTGTTTGCGAAGACACAGGTGTCTTTGCGACATAGCAGGTGTCTGGCGGTCATTTGAAAGTCAAGCGTGTTGTTCCAAGTTTAGATAATTAGTTTATACAGGGAGTGACTATTCAGTACTTTATTATTTTTGTTTGCTAAAAGCGGAGGTTTATACAGGGGGTGTCTACCTAGTATTTAGCAGATAGGACATGTTGAATGTAATTTCAACATAAAATTTATATTCTAGAAACTTATAATAAAATAAACTACACTTCGTAAGATACATATTGTGACTAGTTTACAATAAATATTATATTTAGACATGAATACATTATTTTACTTACATTAAAAGCTTTAAAAAGACATTGAATTGATTTCTTCTTGTGTTTTCTTTAGTTTTACATTTGATTTTTATCCTGTTTTACAATCTGAAACGACGTAAATCTTGCTTTGATGTTTTTTGTCACTCATGTTACTTTTTTTTACATTATTTTGATTCTTTTCATCATTTTTTTAAAAAATTACTTTAATTTACATTGCTTTACATAGAAAATTGATTGCGCTGTCATTAGACATGCCAACTAAATTTGAAATTTGACCATTACCGATTCGCCTCCTTCTCTCTAGTCTTCATAGCCATATCATATTGTTAGATATACTGGGTTATACATCAGAGATAAGACATAGTTAATGTCTTCTCTCTGGTTATACATTCATGATCGAATGATTTGCTAGATATGCGCTGGAGTTTTTGTTTTTTTAACACGCTTATATTTATAGGTAAGTCTCACGATATACCCTAAGGGGTAAGTCTGATTAATTATAATAGTATGGTCCTTCTGTAGTATCAGTGTGGTGCTTAAAATTATAAATATTTTATATGAAGTGTAAATCAATTGGTGACGAGTCTCTTTTGTTCTCAAATAATGATAGAGCATTAGCTTCAGATGAATGTAAAATGTAAGCTTTTACTGAATCTTTCGAGGAAATACCATCATTCTTTTCACCAGGAAAAAAGTCGTGTAAAATTCAAGAATCTAATTTTATTTCAACATCTCTCTTTGTAAAGGATAATATATTAGTTCAAAGACATCTAATGCTAATGAA